TATTTTTTATATCCAATTTATATTGTATAAAATTTATCCATTTTTCCCATACCGCAAAGAATTTCTCTTGCGATTGCTCCTTTAAGAAAGCCGAAATCTTTGCCATTTCCGCCAAATAAGAAACTTTAAAAAACCACTCTTGCAAGGTAGGCAAAGATTCCTTCTTCCAATATTGCCCTACTAACAGCCTAGCGGCCGTAATCAAATTTAACATCAATATAACTTCCTTAGCATCACAATCAGTAACAATACCTAACAAAAACAATTGTGGGGTAAATTTTACCCTCTTTCTAAAAATTCTTTGAATATTCCACCATATCTTAATCCAAAAAACTTTTATATTTTTACACGACCACCAAATATGATAATAAGTAGCGTCCAAACAACCACATCTCCAACATTTAGGCTGTAAGTCAGGATACATACGAGACATTTTTTGTGGATCAAGGTGCCATCTGTAAAACATTTTGTAAAAATTCTCCCTTAAGTTCTGGGCTTGTGTAAATTTAACATTCCTCACCCAGATGGTTTCCCAGGTATCTAGTAGAACTGGTTCACCAAAATTTTGTGCCCATTTAATCATACATTCTTTAATTAGTTCTGATTCTGAGTCCAGTTCTACTAGCACCCCATAAATTCTCTTAATGTGAGTTCGCCTTTGATCTTTTACTTGTTTAAAAAGATTTTTATCTTCTCTGAGCAGACCCACATTACGATCTATCTTCCATCTATCAGCTATTTGTCTATACTGAAACCATGAATATATAATATTTTCATGTGCTAAATCTTCCAAAGATTTTAACTGCCAATTTTTACCATCCCACCTGAGTAATTGCGCATAAGAAACACTATCCATCTTAACTCCTCTGATTATCCCCTCTATCGCATGCCAAGGTATAGCCCATAATGGTATTTTAAACTCACTTTTATAATATTCACTCCAAACCCAAAGTAAAGAAATCCTTATAATATGAGATTTAAAAACCCGATCCACTTTTTTATTAAAAATTAGATAGGCATGCCATCCAAAAAGTAAATCCCAACCCTCCAAATGGAGTATTTCTACATTTGTTAAATCAACCCAATCACTAATTAGTGTTAAAGCCACAGCATCATAATATAATTTCAGATTCGGTACCTTGAGTCCACCTCTCTCACGGAAGTCTTGCATAATTTTAAGCTTTACCCTTGGTTTTTTCCCTGCCCAAATAAATTTGTTGATACCTTTCTGCCATTCATTTAAGTTAACCTCATTCTTTAAAATAGGTAACATTTGAAATAAAAAGAGAAATTTTGGCAGGACATTCATTTTAATCACTGCAATTCTTCCCATAAGAGATAACTGTAACTTCTCCCAATTTTTCAAATCTTTTTGTACCCTGACCCACAGCCTTTCATAATTGTTTTTATACAATTTTACATTAGAAACAGATAGGGTAACCCCCAGATATTTTATCTTATCAACAACTTCAAAGTCTGTCAGATTAACCAAAATCTGCTTATCCAAATTAGTCATGTTTTTAGATAATATTTAGTCTTATTATTATTAATTTTAAAACCCGAAACCCGTCCATATTGGTAAATCAGTTGTAATAAATTTACTACAGAATAGGTAGGTTGAGACAAAGTAACCACCAAGTCATCTGCAAAAGCTCTTAATTTATATTCTTTTTTGTTAACTTCTATTCCTTTTATTTCCTGCGACTCTCGAATTTTGATCAACAAAATTTCCAGAGTTAAAACAAACAGTAACGGTGACAATGGACATCCCTGTCTTGTACCTTTTTCTATTGTAAAAACCTCTGACAAACCCCCATTAACAATAAGTTGTGCCGTTTGTTTTTGATATATAGCACCAAAAGCTTGTGATATTTTTTCTCCAAAATTCATTTCCTCAATTAATCTTAACATAAACTGCCAATTCAATTGATCAAAAGCTTTTTCAGCATCTAAAAATATCAGCCCTGCGGAAATTTGGTTATTCTTATCTAAATATTCTAATAAATTAATAATTTGTCTAACATTATTCTTCATATACCTACCAGTTATAAAACCCGATTGGTCCTTATGTATAAGCTGATGCAAAACCCTCATAAGCCTATTAGCTAAAATTTTTGCAAAAATCTTATAATCTACATTTAAAAGAGATATGGGCCTATAATTCTTCGGTAAAGTAAGATCTTGATCCTCTTTTGGAATCAAAGATATAAAAGCTCTACGCCATGACGGAGGAATCTCTGAACCCTGTAGTATATTATTAAAAAGCTCACATAAAGGTTGAATCATCTCTTCTACCAAGGTTTTATAATAAATGGATGTCAAACCATCCGTACCCGGTGCTTTACCTAATTTTAATTGCTTAATAACTGTCACAATTTCCTCATTGGTGATTAAACCATTAATTTCTTGTTTCTGATCTTCTGTTAATTTAGGGAAGTTGGCCTCACTTAAATAATTATTTATATCTAAAGTTTGTACATTAGTACTCTTATATAATTTTTGATAATAATCTAAAAAAGATTTCTTAATCAACTCCTTCTGATAAACTAATTTACCATTATAATTTATTTTGTCTATAATTCTCTGTCTCTGTTTCTTTCTTAATTGATAAGCCAACCATCTCCCTGGTTTATTAGCATTGCAAAATGTATTTTGTTTCATAAACAATAAATTAGTTGCGGTTTGATCCGCCATCAACATATTAAATTGTGTTTTTAACAACTTTATAGATTCTTTAACCTTTTCATCTGTAGGATTTAAAATCAAAGACTTTTCTTTTAATTTAATCTCATCTTCCAGTTCCTTACGTTTCTGAATCTGCTTTTGTCTATAAACATTATTCATTTTTATCAAAATCCCACGCATGAAAGCTTTACCTACATCCCATACCATTGATATTGAAGTTCCCTTATGCATATTTAAAGCAAAGTAATCCTTTAAATGCTCCTTTAATTTTTGAACATTCTTTTCTTGTTTAAATAAGTTCTCATTCACCCTCCACGATCCCCTCTCCTCTTTTTCATCAGCCAGCTCCATCCAAACTGGACTATGATCCGTCAACGACCTAGGAAAAATTTTTACATTCTTTACCCTGAAATATAAGTCAGTTGTAATCAAGAAAAAGTCAATTCTTGAGAAGGATTGATGTCTATCTGAAAAGAAGGTGAAGTCTCTCTCCTCTTGGTTACATTCACGCCAATAATCTCTCAGCTCCCAGTCCTCTTTCAAATCAAAAAAAGCTTTGGGTAATTTAGCCTGTTTGAAAAAAGTAGAAAATCCTTTTTTAATCCCTTTGTGTATCTAAAACACCATTCCAATCTCCCATTAATATCACAGATCTATAGTCCAACGAACTTAATTTCTGATGTAGCAGTCTATAAAATTGTTCCTGTTGTTGGTTTGGTGCGTACAATCCCACTATAAGTATTTTCTTACCATATAAACCAAGTTCAATCATAACATATCTTCCTTGAGGATCTGATTCTACCAAACAGACTGGTAAGTTTTGTTTAACATAGATAACTACACCCCCTTTTTTCCCAGGAGCAGAAGATACAAAATGAGATCCCAAACGAGAATTGACTAAGTATTTTTGATCTTTAGGTAAAATATGTGTTTCCTGCAAACAAATAATATAATTGTTGTGTTGCTTTAAGTAATGAAAGATTTTCTTTCTCTTCTGAGGGGAGTTAAGGCCGTTAACATTCCAGGTCAGGAACTTTACCATCTCCCTTAACCAAAAGCCTGGAGAAGACTACCTGAAGGTCTGCCATTGAAGAATGTGTTGCAGAGCTCTTGGGTCTTGCTCCTCCCACCGGCAACGAGATACTTTCTTGAGAAGATTCTTTGATTTCTTTCTTTTGTTGTTCCTTTTCCTTGCATCTATGTGCAGCACAAGTCATTCTTTGCTCTTTGATCTCTGGGAAACATATCATTATAAGACTCCCTATAGTCTTATTAGAATAACAGTTATAATGATTAAGGATACCTAAGAATGAAAAGGATGCATCTGAGAATAAAGTGCCAGCATTTCAAATTAGTTGGTACCTTTCTTTAGATGTTTATATTCCTTTTTTTAGATGATGTAGAACAATTCACAAAACAAATAATCTAAAACAAAACCATGATAAAAACAGCTCCTAAACTATGTTCTGCAATCAGGTTAAATTCCAACATTATTTTAAAAAGAAAAAGCAACATACTAAATAGATCACATATATTAAATAATGACTCTCTTGCAAAGGTTATGTTTATAATAATTTTATGACCTGAAGAAACATAATATAGTGTTATTCAGGGGCAGGGAATGGCAGGAAGGCTTAAAATCAAAACTGAAAGGATTGATTGATGTTAGACGCAAGGGATAAAATACAAGGATTATGCTCAGGCCCTCCAAAAGGAAATTTAGTTACCCATAAATCCCTTTTAGAGCTCAACTGGCTGAACAGTATTTCAAGATAGCTTTTCTTCAATTTTATGAAGACACAACTGAGATTATGCACTGCATTTTGTGGTGAAGCTATATATTGAAACAGGATATAGAGTTTTATTAGGAGTTGCATGACATACTGCAACATAAACTTACACTGGCTGATACATGCAACATGCCAGACTAAAACATAGTTGGTAATTTGTGAAACAGCTTAAAACAGAATGGGGAAGAATTGAATTTAAAAAGTGCTGAGAGAAAGGGTGTCTCACTCAGGTTTTGCAGACCCCTGCAAATTTACAGATTGCCAAGATTATTCCTGTGTTTTATAAAGAGAGATCCAACACACAAGACTTGGGAAGACAAAATTGAGAAAACTTCAAATATATGAAGGGATATTTTTATATTATTGAATACATGCAGTGGAGTGATTCAAACCATTGTCGGAGAATTGGGTAACAAACTGTAAGGAAAGGATCCTGCTGTACTTATTTATATGTTAATCTATAGCAGAGGTAGGCAACCTTGGCTCTTTTATGACTCGTGGACTTCAACTCCCAGAATTCTCGGAGTTGAAGTCCACGAGTCATAAAAGAGCCAAGGTTGCCTACCCCTGGTCTATAGTAATAGCTGTTAGGCAACATACATTAAATCAAAAAATTAAATTACTACTTTAAAAAAATACAAATGAATACCATAAATGTAAAACTCCTTTAAATACCATGCACTAATAAACAAAGAAATTAAAAGGCACAAGAAAACAAATATTTTAGTTTGGTGCTGCAAGAATAACAGAGACATCATACAGTCTTCTCAGAAGGGTACAATGGAAAGCTGAAAAGATCTGCCTCAAAATATTAGGATCTTGAACTTAACATAATTATGTTCTGCCACTGAACATCCATCTTTCTCTCCAATTTTGTCCTTATTGTAACGGAGGTAGTAAGGTAGATGTGGTAAAGTGTTATTGCTAGAGAGACATTGATTTTCTAAAATATGTTACTTCAGTGTTGAAGATACTCATCCTTCTAAGGTAGACGGTGTGGAACCATACATGCTCAACAAGTGGATTTGTTAATGGAAAAATAATTCTAAGCTTTGTAGGAGAAAAATTTGGGATATTCCAAATAAGAACGATGTAAAATTATCTTAATGTCAGTAACACTGAATATAGTACTGAAGCTACTATATTTCTAATTCCATGATGAAAAGGAACAAATTTAATACTATGTCTCTTGCATGCAGTTGCATTCTCAGGTTTAATCCTGACATCTCAAGGCAGAGCTTGTACAGATCTCAGTCTGAAACTGGAGAACTGCTGATAACATTCATTGGAAATTCTGGAATCTGCAATATCAAAACAACTATAGGACTGACATGACTAATATTTGGAATATGGGTTTTTAATGCTATGTTTTAGTTTGTAGAATAGAAAATGCAAAGTATACGTGTTCAGTAGTCATGTATCTTCAGGACAGAAACAGAAATAAAATTTTGCGTGAAAAAGTTTTCATAATATATGAAGTATTATACTATCAAAACACAGTAAAGTACTATATCAGGTTTTGTAATCTAATGAAAAAGTCAGGGAAAAGGCAAAATTTTAAGTATAATTCTTTCCAGTATGTACTCTTATACTTTACAGGCACATGAAGCAGTAATCATTTTCTTTCTACCAGTTTCTACAATTTAGACTTAACTTCAGGAGTAGAAAACACAAGTACTATACTAAAACGTAATTGAATTAGAATTCAGAATGAAAAATTAGATAATAGTATTCATCAACCATTGTTTTAGGCTGAATTATGAAAAATGTGAAGTGTCTGAAAAATGAAGCTAAGAATTAGCTAAGTTGTCTTTGGCATCACTGTCAGTAAAACAATCTGATGACTTTTACAAAACAGCTGTTTCCTTTCAAAATCTAAAATAATAAATTTACAGCAATTTCCATCTTCTTCAACTATCACACATTGGCTTTAATTTTATATCAAGAAGTCCATTGAAAATTAAAGAGGTGTGAACACGCAGTTCAGTTATGTCACAGCTGTCAGATGGCCTCTTGACCCCACAGAAACAAAATCCTGACATTATGAGTACCAGTGAAGTTTACCAACAAAACTAAATATGACTGCCAAAGACTATAAAATTTAAAACAAAACCATATATTGGGTTGCATTATTCATGCATCAAATAAGTTTCAAAACTGACTTCAACTACACAGGAATGATTACTTATCAAAGCCCTTGTCTACAAATACACACACACACACACACACTGATATATGTATAACTTCCTCTCTCAAAAAATGCTACCATTCATAAAATGATGATAGAAAAGTGACAAGAAATTTTCCCCAAGTGTTTTAGGAACTCTAAATTAGAATTTCTCAATATTGGCCACTTGAAGATGTATGAACTTCAACTCCCAGAATTCTGGAAGTTGAAATGCACACATTTTCAAGTGGCCAACACTGAGAAATACTGTTCTAAATGTACAAGCTGGGATTGGATTTCACTTTTTTTTTTCCAGTTATGTGTTTATCACTCTGCAACCTTTCTATTTACCAGACCTCTATATCTGAAAAAAAAAAAAACCCACCAGGGATTGAGTTCTGTCATAAAGTCTTCCATTAAGAACTTCCCTTCTTGTGTCTGATTTGTAACACAGAAAAGCAGGGCACACATTTTCAAGTGGCCAATACTGAGAAATACTGTTCTAAATGTACAAGCTGGGATTGGATTTCACTTTTTTTTTTCAGTTATGTGTTTATCACTCTGCAACCTTTCTATTTACCAGACCTCTATATCTGAAAAAAAAAAAAAAACCCACCAGGGATTGAGTTCTGTCATAAAGTCTTCCATTAAAAACTTCCCTTCTTGTGTCTGATTTGTAACAGAAAAGCAGGGCACACATTTTCAAGTGGCCAACACTGAGAAATACTGTTCTAAATGTATAAGTTGGGATTGGATTTCACTTTTTTTTCCAGCTATGTGTTTATCACTCTGCAACCTTTCTATTTACCAGACCTCTATATCTGAAAAAAAAAAAAACCCACCAGGGATTGAGTTTTGTCATAAAGTCTTCCTTTAAGAACTTCGCTTCTTGTGTCCGATTTGTAACACAGAAAAGCAAGGCTACTCAGACCCACTTCCTGGTCACCTCATAACTCACTAGGCAGCCTTTCTCAACTTTAGCAGCTTAAGATGTGGACTTTAACTCCTAGAATTCCCCAGCCACTATGCTAGATATGGAATTCTGGGAGTTGTAGTCCATATCTTAAAAGTGAGAAACACTGCACCACAGTGATAGGTAAAAAGCAACATCTTGCCAATATTGTCAGATACGTTTTTATATATCTTTTCAATCAAGTTTAATAATGGTTGAAAATGCTGAATTTTCAGCACACCGTTTACCATATAGTTCCAACACCTAATCTCAGCTATGTTCAAATGGTAAAGCATAATAATGATTTCCCTTATCAAACTTACAAAAATTTTGGCACCTGTTGATCACCGGATTTCCTTTCCGACCCTTCTGTATCTAATACAAGACTTCAAGAGGGTTTGACCACAGAGAGAGAGTGTGTATGTATGTGTGTACACAGAAATAATTAAAAGTGCCTTCCAATACGCGGAAAATATAACTCCAAACAATACTTATCTCCAAATTAAATTCCATATACTTCGCTGTAAGCTTGCAGGTTCAATGTTTTAAGTATTTATGGTCGCAAACTGGAACCCTGGGAAAGCTCCTCCTTTTACAAAATAAACAGGAAAGAGCGATTGTAAATTTTTAATCGTATGGCGCAGACAGCAAAGAAACAACTAAGAAATGTGTCTGTCTAGCGCGGTTTCTTCGAGAGACAGAGAGAGAGAGAGAGAGAGAGAACACTGATTGTTTATTTATAAACTTCACTCATCTTGCATAGCCTGGCTTCCTCTGCGGCCGCCCATCAAAATCAGCAACCTCCGGCGTTCCTCCTCTCAACGCGCTCACCGAACCGCCCTTCCCAGCGAAGTATCAAGTACCGCCAGTAGCTCCGCCCTTCACCCCCCCTCCCCGCTCGCCATTTACGAAGATTGCCGAACGGGAAAGAGGGGATCGTATCGAGCCGTAATTCCTCTCCGGCCTTTCCGAAGACAATCGAAGGGCTTCGGCCTCTCTTCTTCCCCTCCGCGTCTCTGGCGGCGATTGCTCTTGCTGGGGCTGCCGCGATCTCCTCCGGGGCTTTCAGCGCTGCTCGGCGGGCCCGAGACCGTGTCCGAGGTCTTGCGGCGGGGGCTTCCGCTGGGGTCTTCTGCTCGCAGGCTCCCCTCCGCCGGGGCAGAGGTGTTTCCAGCCGTGCTCCCGGGGGTCCTAGTTGGACCGGGCGGGCTGGGCCTGAGAGCCGCGGCTGAGAGCAGGCGATCGGTGGTCGGCTTGTGGAGACTGTGAAGCGGCGGCGGCGGCAGCGGCTCCCCCTAGGGGAAGCGGGGCGGCCGGGGTCCGGTTCGGATGGCGGAGGGCATCCAGCATCAGCAACTCGTGCCTGGCGGCGTCGGCGTCCCAGCCCCTCGAGGGGTCAAGCGGGAGTCCGAATTGGAGCAGCCGATGCCCGGCGGGGACGGAGCCGAGAGCGGCCAAAGCAAGAGGCTGCGGACGGAGGCTGAGGCGGACGGAGGCGGCATGCAGGTAGCAGCATTGGTAGCGGCGCCACCCTGGACGCCCCCCCCCCGGGACCGTAAAAGGCGCGCTTCCCTCGCGCACGTTCACACGGAGCGCGCAGCACAGATGGGCTCGACGGAGTTTGGGCAGGATGCTAGTCCCGTGGAGCCCGTCTTGGTGTCCGGTTTGGTGTGAGTGGGTGTGGGGAGTCAAGCCAGCAGGCAGGCTTTCGCAAACAGAAGAGGCCCAGTAGCCCCCACTGGTATTAATCTTGGAGGAGAAGAGCTTAAATACTCCACGGCCTGCCTTCGATGCCAAAATATCCATAAACCCAGGGCTCCGTAGAGAGCAGTGCCCTGGCTAGGACACGAGTGGTAGTGGATGTAGAGGTTGTCATAACAATTGCACGTAGAGCCGTGTTTTGTTGCACGGCCACGTGCTGACAAGCCTCATCCATTGTGGAATTTTCGAAGGACTAATTAGAATGTCTTGTTGGAAAGAGCACAAGATAGTTTATGTGATTGCTATAGAGTTACAAGGTCATATTTTCATCTGGATTAGACTTCCTCAGTGTGGTAACCTGAAGATGTGTTGAATTGCAGCTTCCACACACCTCCAGTAAGGGTAGATTGTAGGCCAGTACCTAGTAAGGATTCTTCTTTGAAGAAGAAGAATCTAGAATAATGTTCGGATCTTTAAGAAAGTTTCTTAGGCCTCCGATGCCTTGGTTATTTAGTTTTGGAAGAACTGTAGCCAGTGCTTTAGGAAGCCGCTTTGATCTTGTTTGTTTCTGTCTAAGACTGCAGCTAGATAATACTCACCTTGGTGTGAGGATGTAATCTTATCCATTCCTTTCTTATAGTAAGCCTCATACTGAAGGACTTATTTTTGTAACAGACATATGTAGTAGTGAACTGTTAGTCCTATTGAACCTGGAATAACTTATTTTTGAACGGACATTCTTAGGATTGTATTTCAAATGAAATTACTTTGAATTTACTGTGAGTCATAAAACAGGTGAATCTGTGGTTTCTTTGAAAAAATAAACGTTTGTTGATAATAAAGATAGCAAATAGAGTTCATTTACATTATATTTTGGCCAATTCATCTGGCCAAAGAGTAACTGACATTTCCTAGAGAAAGTAAGTACAGATGTGTATCAATTAAAAAAAAAAAGTAAATAACGAGCAATCAAAATACTTTTGGGGGCACAAGTTGTACAGGATTTACCCCTCCCTTTTTGTAAAGGTTTATTTTATCTTCACGTTATATGAAAAGTTCCAGAAGTTTCAAAAGGGTACATGCTATTTTGTAATCTGGAGTTGACCTGACAGGGCTGTTGCCTCAGTATGGATTTTGGATTCAGTATCTCAACTGCTCAGATGTAACCAAGCTTGCCATAAGAATGGCAATCTCAAGCAGAGCAAATATTTTCTGTGCAAAAGAATCCTGATACATTTTAATACACAATTATATTTTGAGTTACCTGTGGCCTTTGTTGTTTTTGACATACAGATCTGGATCCATACTTATTTGTTAAACTTTTATGCCTCAAATCTTATTGATGCAACTCTGGGCAGATTACAACATGATACAAAGTAAAAAAGTACTACAAGCAATTAAAATTAGAAGAATTAAATAGTGCTCTGAATAAATATTCATGTTAGCTTTAGAAATTCTGCCAGTTTTATGTCTGCTTACCACAGTTGCTAGCTTGAAACATGTGGCTTGGGTGAAAATGATAGGCCAAGCTACTTAGTTGCGATGACCATACAAGAGGGATTTGTAGAATAAGACATGAGGTCTTATAAGGAAACAGATTCTAGGATAAATGTTTTTACGAACGTTTACAAAAAAGAGCAGAATTGAAATAAAATTAATAATAGTCAACTGTATACAGCTGTATGCTTCCAATGGATTTTCCAATTTCTTTATATGTAAACAGTATTAAAGATTGATAGCATTCTTTGGCTACTACAATCCACAGATTTTACAATAGTGTGAAAGAGGGTATGGTTCACATCTACCATATTACAGATTGCAATAAAAATGGCAGAGAGGAACCAGAAAGTTAACCAGAAATTATAGAAAGGATATTGTTTTGGGACGGACTTTAGAGTTTATCTGCATATTGCATCATTTTCATGCAGAAGATCCTGGTTTAGAGAACCAGTCTGATGTAGTGGTGATGCTGTTGGAATGGCATTGAGAAGACTTAGATTGTAATCTATCCTCATGAATGATACATTCTCTCTCAGCCCAACCTGCCTCACAAGGTTATTGTGGGGAAAAATAGAAAGAAGGAATGCTATCTATGCTGCCTTGAGCTCCTGAATAAAATACTGTATGTAAATTACAAATTGGTTTTGTTTTCCAATAGTTTTTCACTTGAAAGATTCTGCATGAAAGATTCTGTGTTAATTAGGAAACAAAGGATATTGACATGAGGATTTAAAATACCTTGAAATGGTTTGGTCATATAGAAAGAATGATTTCAAGTTGTAGAACAATATATGAAGGAAGAGTGAATAAGTTGAAAGGAAAAGGAAGAGTGAGAATATTATAGTTAATTGTAATTGATGAGAACTTTTAAAAAGTGAGAAGTTTAAATAATAGACAATCTATGAATTGGTGTATGTGCATGATGGAAGCAAGGATGGTTTGCCTGGTTAAAACAATATGGGGAAATGCACTTACATGTAAAACTTTAGAACAAATTGTATATTTCACTGAATTTCAAAAAGAACAGGTTCTTTTCTGTAGTTCTGGCCAGTTTGGGAGAGTATTTTAGCAAAGGTTTTTCTTGGTCTTCAAACTAAAGCTGAAAACAGTTTGGATATTTTGGTAGACAGTAATGTGAAAAATGCTACCAAATTGACATTAAGTTACCTACAGCAGCGGCTCCCAATATTTTGGGCACCAGGTAATGGTTCTATGGAGAACGTTTTTTCCGCAGACCGGAGGGGACGTGGTTTCCTATACTGACTGCATCCCCTTCACTTGTTTGTGCGGCCCAGTTTCTGGCATGCTGCGGGCCAGTGCAGGTCCATGGACCGGGGTTTGGAGACTCCTAACCTACATATAGTCATACTGTTTTTTTAATGGTGGCAGAGTAGGTAGTTTTGGGGGGACACTCTGGTCCTAGCCTCAGTCCCTTTCCCCAACTGCAGAAAACAGCCTGAAATTGCTTCTGAAATTTAGCCATTTTGATAATGACTTTAAAATGGCAGTCTGTGGGTTCTGTGAGCTACACACAGCTCTTGATCTTCAAATCTCTCACTCCTACTTTTTGCCAACAATTTAGTCAATCTTCTTTTCTCCATCTACCATATATAATATATATATAATGCAAAAGGGCAAATATTCATTATATAAGAGTCTCCTTGGCTGAACTTAAGATTGGCTTGTCATGATCGATTCATGAAATTGTGATTTTAGCATGGACTGAAGTGTGACTACTGTAAGTGAGAAATTGTAAGAGCTATGTTAGTTTGGCATTGTGCTAAAAATCATAATATGGTTAACTTGTTTTTATTATTTGCCTTACATCAGCATGGGAAAACTTTTTTTGGCTGAATTTCCTCTACTTCCCATATATGGGCACCCTAAATTTATTTATTTATTTATTTATGAGACTTATATACCGCTTTAAGTGCAAGCACTCTCTAAGCGGTGTACACCAGTAAGCAATGTATATATATATATTTACATTGTCCCCAACAATATGGTTGGTGGTGTTCTAATTATCACTGGAATGAGCAGTCTTAAAGTGTTTGGGCCCTATTTTGTTTTTGGGGCCTTAGGTTAAGTTTAAGGAAAACAATTAGTGTCTTAAGCATCACAGATACTTAGAGCATCCATTTTGTCCCTTAAAATACAGCAAACAAGGAGATTTTTTTTTATTATATGTTGAGTGCAAGTTCAGAACTGCTTAAGGTAATTTATTCAAGTTGTATCTCTCCCTCATGATATCCCTTTGGGCTGCTCTCTGAAGGTCTGGGCTGAGGAATGGGCTGGGCCACACTAGAGGCTGTGCTTGTTCCCCAGTTGCTCTGTTGACTCTGTTTGTACACCTGGCTTTGCCTGGTGCCTGAACTCAGCTACATGGAGGTGTTCCTTTCTCACCATTTCTTTGCTGCTGTTGCTGGACACCCTTGTTATTTATTTTGTTATTTACTCTTCCTGCACCATTTTTCTTTTTGTTTGTTTTTTTGCTGTTGGGGCTTTGGAGGTTTGGACAGTGGCAGAGTGTGTGTGCATTTGTGTGTGTGTTACAGTAGAGCGGCAGGCTGCTATGGACCCACTTCCCCCACGGAGTCTACTTTTGCATTCCCTGTGGGTAGACCTGAATAGGAAGGAAAGGGAGAAGAAAGAAAATGATATGACTCCATCTTTTGACTATGAATCAATGCTTTATTCCTTTTTCTGGGTGAGAACCAGAAGATAACTAGGTTTGTATGGTGTGTGTGTGTGTGTGTGTGTGTGTGTGTATGTGTGTATGTGTGTGTGTCTGTCTGTCTGTCTGAATGGAAGAGAACCTTCTACTAGCTGATGGGAGTAGCAGGGGAGGGCTGCTGTGAGTTTTGATATATATGAATGTAATGTGAGTATGTTGCACCAAGGGGGGAGGTGGTGGCTGGGTACCCTGGTGGCACTGAGAACTTATAAAGCTAAAGTGCCTCGGAGTGCCTAGCTTCTCTTCACTGGGATGGTTGGAAAGGATAATGGGAGATTCCAGGTTTTGGAGGACTTGGATATGGGGATGGGACTGAAATTTGGGTGAAGGCAGGCCATAATATAATGATGGTGATGGGCAGGGGAAATATGTTGAGAGACAGGGAGTGGGCCATTTTCAGGGAATACAGGACTGTTTTCTTATACTGGTTTTGTGTTCCAGCTCCTTGATCTTTGTGCCCTGGGCCTTATCAGCAGACCTTCAATGGCCCTGTTTTTCACTGCAGCTTCTAAATGCCAGGTTGATCTGTAATATGGCCTCCCTCATTAGTGATCTAATAATTGATGACCTG